CCCTTTTGATCATTACTGATCACAAAAACCTGGCATACATAGGAGATGGTCTCTATTTCTTTCTCGCTTTAATTTTCTTATCACCTACAGACCTGGTTCTAAAAATGTCAAGGCCACCGCCTTGTCCAGGCAGTTTGATACTGAGGCTATACTAGAGCAAGAAATGTCCCATATCATTCCCCCAGAATGTATCATTGCGTCCTCTCCACTGCTTGGCTCCATCATGGAGGCTCAGCTTAAGGCGCCCTGCGGTAAATCTCAGGACAAACTGTTCGTTCCATTGGGGGAAAGGGTTAATATCATGAAGGTGTTTCATGACAATGTGTCTGCTGGTCACCCAGGTATTAATAAATCCACTTCTGCTATCATGAGGTCATTCTGGTGGGATTCCCTCAGGAAGGATGTTAAGGAATATGTGCAGGTTTGTTCTGGTTGTGCGGTTTCCAAAGTGCCTCTTTTATGAAAAAGTGGGTTTTAAATGATTTTTTTGAAGGAGTGGAGACTGGGTGAGCATCTAACAGAGGAGAGAAGTGAGTTCCACAGGAACGGTTCAGCCCTGGAGAAGTCTTGAAGGCGAGCATCAGAGGTGAGAGTACAGACAGAAGATAGACGTAAGTCTTCAGCAGAGCGTAAGGGCCTAGACGGGACATACTTGTGTATTAGGGACGATAGATAGGTGGGAGCAGCATTATGTAGAGATTTGAAAGCAAGAACCAGAATTTTAAATTAAGCCCTATATCTTACAGGAAGCCAATGTAGGAACTGACAGAAGGGTGAGGCGTGGGCAGCGCAGGAGGACAGGAAGATGAGCCAGATATATGAAGAAAAATTATCACAATCACACAGTTCTGGTATTTTTGACAATAGGACGTTTTTAGTGCTTACATTTAGTCAGAAATGTATTTAATACATATAACGCATTTTTTAAACAAATTGATACATTTACACTTAGACTTGTGGAGTTGTGAACAATATTCATTTTAACAAGTGCAATAGCTATTGACATTATTTAATAATACATGGCTTGTCTGCTAAAAAATATCTCATATGTAGATTTGTTTTTATGTGGTTTATCTTTCCTTTCATCACATAATACTTTATTATAGATAAAGAAAAAAAAAATAACTACTTATGTTATTAATGCTAGTCATTATTTCTCAATAATTTATAATGGCATGGTTATGAGGAAGATATCTTGTAAGAGATATGCTGTAATAGTTCTGTTTAATGATTCTTTAAACCTTAATAGTAATGTGGTTTCCTTCTAAAAAATATATTTCTACTTGGCAGCAATTCCTAATAAAACAAATTATATTTCAGTTTCCAAAATGAAATCTGTTTTCCTATGCATTGACATCAATTTATCTTTTTGACATTATTTACAGTGAATGTATTCGCAACCTAGGTCTGATGATATAAAAGTAAGCCTCAAAGTTTCGACAGGTCCCTTGTCCACCCAAATATATATACATATTTAGAGCATTTACATACAAATTGATGTGGAACTATTTCAGCTGACTGAGATTGATAAAAACACGTGGACTTAATCAAACTGGTTTATAGATGATATTGTCTGTCTAACAAATGGTGAAATAAACTGTAACGGAACCGCTGGCACCCCGACCGGGTACCTTCCGCCGACTGATGCTCCTAGTGCTTTCCGAGGACTCCAAGCACTCTGCCTGACACCATAACCACTGCAGGCCCCACGAACCGCCGCAGCTTGGTTGGGGTCTCGCCGTCTCCACCCACTCTGGACCCAGGACCAGGGTCCAGCTTCCAGCAGGTCGACCTCTCTCCCAATTCCAGAGAGCAGGAACAGGAACAAGCTCTTAGCAGAGCTTAGTGATTATACCCTGCGGAGTATAGTGATTATAGCAATCCCCAGAGTGTAGTTTCTCAAATCCCCCAAACATGAGCCGAAACTTCATGAAGGTACAAGATGATCTGACTCCAATGAGCGTTTATTACTGCTTATATACAAGTTTTCAGGTCAGAGGCACACCCCCTGGACCTGGTGGTAAACTGTGACAAAAGGGACACAAACCAATGGGAACACTAATTAACATGATAACACTCTCACATACACAATGAAATCCCTCCTCTCCATCCTGGAGATAATTGGCTTAAGGCACTGCAGTAAACTCAATTATCTCCAGGTACAGAAAATATCTACATTTAACACTAACAGCAAAAATACGTAAAAGTACATAAAAATACATAATTCTTATTTTATTACACAGAACCCCCACATTTAACCTATCCCCAGATAGCTCGGATCTGAGCGCCCAATCTAGGTGAACAATAGACAGGAAACGGGGGAGGGGAAGAAACACACCTTCCCATGGATTCCAATGGGAAGAAACTGTCTTTAGAAGCCAATAAGCCCCAAATAGTCTTTTTTAAATGGCAATACACCCCAGGGCCATAGTCATGAGGAAGGAGGCTGGCAATCAGGCTCCTCCAAACGCCGGGGGCAAAGGGCAGCTTGTCACCTAACAATCCAGGGACAAAAGGCATTTCGTCACATAAACACTTTATCTTCTTGTTCAAAATAGTTACTATCCAATTTTGACTAAGATGAACTTTTTAATAGAACTACTAGTCAAACTCATGAATGAAATGTCCTGGGCAATGTTCTGTATATATAACATTATCAAATTATTACTTTTGGAAAATGATCAGAAATACACTTTTAGAATTGTAAAAATACAGTAATAGTGAAAAAGAAATTTTAAAAGTATTTTGTGCTACTTTTTGATTTATACAAAAAAAAAACACATACCTATATAAAAATACACATATATATATATATATATATATATATATATATATGTATATATATATAAACTCTCTTTCTAATTGTCTTTCTAATTGTCTTTTGTTATAATAGATAGATAGATAGATAGATAGATATTAATATATATTTGTGGTCAGGGCAAAAGACGTAATAATGCAGAGTCAGTTGTGGTACAAAGTTGGTTGTGGTGTGCCAAAACCGACAATCTGGTAGGTCTGTAAATAAAGAGGGCCCACCAAGGTAGTAATATGAGAAAGAGGGTGGAATAAATTGAGAGGCAACGGCCTGGGTAATGGGGTTTAAATAGCCAGGTAACCCCTCTAACAATTCCAAGCCTTTATATTTGTAGTCAGGGACAAAAGATGTGCTAATGCAAAGTCGGTCATGGTGCAAACTGATGTTTGGGTAGGTCTAGAAATAAAGAGGGCAAAACAATTCTATGTTACACACTATTACATATACAACTTACAGTCCAAACTCTGAATGCTTCCTTAAATATTTTCGGGTTGCATTATGTATCTATTTTCCAAGGATTACCCTTGTCCTATTCTTTAGTTCTATGTACTGGAAAATCCATGTTCTGATACTGAAAGAATGTGTTGTAAAGGTGGAAGAGTCAAAGCCAAGTCTCATGAATAGAGTCTTAATGTAAAATACATTTAACTGATGTGAGTGGTATATCTTGCATGGACAGAAGGGGTGTATTCCCTGGACAACCTGTTATTGTGCAGAAATCTAGTGTTATACTGGGCATCATATTTGATGGAATAAATGGTGAATTCTACTAAAGAGCCTGTTTGATTGGTATTTTAGTGTGTTTTAATAAGAGTTCTTTATGAAACCTGAATTTAATGAGTTCATAAATAGACAGCCAGATGAATCTGATGATGTTACTATGTAAATGTCTGTGTTGTGAAAAACCAAAAAAGACATGTGTATGGTTGCCTTAACCCCTTCAGACCGGAGGACGTACTATTACGCCCTATTTTAGGCGGCTCTAAATGCCGCTGGGCGTAATAGTATGCCCTCCGGTCTTTCTTTACTTACCCGGTCGCCGGCGGTCCCAGGCCGGCGATCGCGTTTGGGGGGACTCCCAGGGAGCCCCCCTGCACAAGATCTTCTTCCTAACAGCCCCCCCGGCCATGTGAGAGTGAGGTCCTTGCGAGGACCTCACAATCACATGGCCAGGATAGCTGGCTGCAGCATTGCCAGCAGGGGGACTGCCCGTAATGACAGGTGGTCCCCCTGCTGGCTGGAAATAAAATTAAATAAAATTAATTAAAGTTAAAAAGTGTAAAAAATAAATAAATATATACTCAGATCATAAGTATATATATACACACATATATATATATATATATGATCTAAGTATATATATATATATATATATATATATATATATATATATATATATATATATATATATATATATAGACACATACACACATACACTGTCTAGATGTATTTTACTATTAATATATATATAATTATATATATATATTAATATCAAATTACACGTATACTGATACTGTTTAAATATATATATAATTACTGTTATATATATATTTATATATAATATAAAAAAATTAAATATGTAAATACTTTAAAAAATAAAATTAAAAAAATAATAAAAAATAAATAATTAAAAAATATATAGATGTGTGTTATTTCGTTCTAACTGTATTGTGATATTTATATATATATATATATATATATATATATCAAAATGCACGTAGAATGAAATAATTATATATATATATATATATATATATATATATATATATAAAAAAAAAAAAGCCTTGCACTCCTACCAAACTTTAAATAGAACCCGGTGCTCGATTGCACAATAAATACCAAGCAAAAGAAAAATCAGCACTCCCAGGATTTGTAAATAAGCCAAAAAAAATACTTTACTCCACAGGTCAACGTTTCAGCTCCTCTTGGGAGCTTTCATCAGGACAGCATACAAAGCATAAATGAAAAACAACACAGCTTAAATAGGGACATAAATCCAATTGAAACTCACAATCCAGGTGTGCTGATGGAGAACCTCCCCTCCTCTCGAGCGTCCGCTCAAACGCTATCAATTCCCGGCATTTCCCCACTTCCTGCTCACGCCGTCACGTGATATACGTGACATCACCACGTTCGTTACGTTGCCATGGAGATCGGGACGTCATTGCGTCTAACAACGATCTCCTCAGTTACTTCCTGAATGGCTGCGTCGTCCGTAGTCATAGTAATACCGGACGCATGCGTATCTAGCTTGGATATTCCGGTCTCTACATCTATCCTCCACCAAGGAAGGAATTAAAGCTGTAACCTGTGTATATACTAGAATCTAGAGAGAGGGGAAGAAAAGGCCACATATACAAAACAAACCCCTAAATCCTATCATAAAAACCAACGGTTAATGGTACTATCCACCTCTATGTGAATACAGTAGTGACGACACCAATATTTAAGATCCAAACAACAATCCCATGTTCTATAAAAATTATAACTAACCCACCAATGACATACTGAGCTAGCAATTAACATACTGTGAAAAAACCTTAAGCAAGGTGTTATAAAAATAGACAATAATGTCATTGCCAATATGTGTATATGATTGTGGTAATATTCATATTTGGACATCCATAGGGATGTATCCTTAATCATGTGTCAAACTCATAATCGATTATACATCTATCCAAACTTTAAAGTGCACGTGCATATATTTGCGTAAAAAACAATAATAAACAATATCAATAATTAAAGTGAAACAGTGCCTAGAATCCAAGATTAACTCCATGCCAATCCATAAATTCATATAGTCATCTATGTCCTAAATCCCTATTGGACAGAACATCTAACAAAAGGACACAGGTAAGTCCCTTATTGTACCAATAAAAACCCCAAACAGGAAAAGGGCATATCATACGTGGACGATTCAGCACAACCTGGATTGGAAGTCCCAATATGGAAAAGTCTGAAGCATGACAAATTCTCAACATAAAATGTATCTAATAATAAACAATGATTTAAAAAGTAGAAGAATTGAAAAATTCAAAAAGGGGCTGGCATTCATCTAAGCAGGACCACAATGTATTCTAGTTGTCATCCCACTATCACACTCCCCCTTTTTTTTATTATAAAAAGGCAACAAAGGACAGTTTTTCATTTAGTCCATTTGGAGCTAGAGTTCCCAGTTTCTTGATCCACCATGTTTCTCTTTGCAAAAGTCTTTCTTGTCTATTGCCACCTCTTCTAGAAACTGGGACATGGTCTATCGCCACACATTTCAATGATGTGAGGGGATGACCTTTTTCCAAAAAATGTCGTGCGACCGGTTTGTCAGACTTATTATCCCTGTAGGCTAATCTAATACTAGACCTATGTCCTCTTATCCTCTCACAGAGGGCGGTCTCTGTTTTTCCAACGTAATTAAGCCCACAAGGACAGGACAACTTATAAATAACAAAGTCAGTCCGACAATTGATTCTATGTTGTATTCTAAATATTTGTCCCGTGTGTGGATGATTGAAACTTTTGCAAGGGATGAGGTGTCCACAAGTTACACAACCAAGGCATCTTACACATCCATTGTTGGTATTACTCTTAATCTCTGGAAGGTAGCTACGGATTGGATCAGTCTGAACAAGAAGATCACGTAAGCTTTTATTATTCTTATATGAAAACAGTGGCTTATTGCGGAAACTCTCTGGAAGACTCACATCATTCTCCATAAGACGCCAATTCGTGTTAATTTCATGGCAGATTTGAGTGGTAGAGGCATTGTATGTCATCGGAAAAGGAATTCGATCTTTATTATTCCGAGATAGTGTCACTCCACCAGCCATTCGATCCCTAGCTTTTGTAAGTGCTTTATCAAGTATCCCTCGTGTGTATCCTCTCTGTGTAAATTTATTATACATTTGCTGTATTTGTTCCTCACAACGAGTGATATCCGAGTTATTTCTTATAACTCTTAAGAACTGGGAGAACGGCAATGAATCTTTGACATGTTTGGGATGAGCACTTTCATAATGGAGCAAGGTGTTTCTATCTGTAGGTTTCGTATACATTTGGTACTCTATTCTCCCTTGTTCCACTCGGATTTCCAGATCCAAAAATTGTGTCTGACATTGATGAATGTGTGATGTCACAAAAATCGGGGTATCTGATCCATTAATGTCTTCCACTAGTTTTTGTGCTTCTTCTATAGTACCTCTCCATAAGATCAGTATATCATCTATATACCGAAAGTATTTTAAAATAAGTTTTGAATGTCTCTTGAAGATATATTCTTTTTCGAACTGGTACATGTATGAATTGGCATACATGGGGGCCATAGCCACCCCCATGGATGTTCCCGCTTTTTGTAAGACAAATGTATAATAAATTTGTGATAGTGGGATGACAACTAGAATACATCGTGGTCCTGCTTAGATGAATGCCAGCCCCTTTTTGAATTTTTCAATTCTTCTACTTTTTAAATCATTGTTTATTATTAGATACATTTTATGTTGAGAATTTGTCATGCTTCAGACTTTTCCATATTGGGACTTCCAATCCAGGTTGTGCTGAATCGTCCACGTATGATATGCCCTTTTCCTGTTTGGGGTTTTTATTGGTACAATAAGGGACTTACCTGTGTCCTTTTGTTAGATGTTCTGTCCAATAGGGATTTAGGACATAGATGACTATATGAATTTATGGATTGGCATGGAGTTAATCTTGGATTCTAGGCACTGTTTCACTTTAATTATTGATATTGTTTATTATTGTTTTTTACGCAAATATATGCACGTGCACTTTAAAGTTTGGATAGATGTATAATCGATTATGAGTTTGACACATGATTAAGGATACATCCCTATGGATGTCCAAATATGAATATTACCACAATCATATACACATATTGCCAATGACATTATTGTCTATTTTTATAACACCTTGCTTAAGGTTTTTTCACAGTATGTTAATTACTAGCTCAGTATGTCATTGGTGGGTTAGTTATAATTTTTATAGAACATGGGATTGTTGTTTGGATCTTAAATATTGGTGTCGTCACTACTGTATTCACATAGAGGTGGATAGTACCATTAACCGTTGGTTTTTATGATAGGATTTAGGGGTTTGTTTTGTATATGTGGCCTTTTCTTCCCCTCTCTCTAGATTCTAGTATATACACAGGTTACAGCTTTAATTCCTTCCTTGGTGGAGGATAGATGTAGAGACCGGAATATCCAAGCTAGATACGCATGCGTCCGGTATTACTATGACTACGGACGACGCAGCCATTCAGGAAGTAACTGAGGAGATCGTTGTTAGACGCAATGGCGTCCCGATCTCCATGGCAACGTAACGAACGTGGTGATGTCACGTATATCACGTGACGGCGTGAGCAGGAAGTGGGGAAATGCCGGGAATTGATAGCGTTTGAGCGGACGCTCGAGAGGAGGGGAGGTTCTCCATCAGCACACCTGGATTGTGAGTTTCAATTGGATTTATGTCCCTATTTAAGCTGTGTTGTTTTTCATTTATGCTTTGTATGCTGTCCTGATGAAAGCTCCCAAGAGGAGCTGAAACGTTGACCTGTGGAGTAAAGTATTTTTTTGGCTTATTTACAAATCCTGGGAGTGCTGATTTTTCTTTTGCTTGGTATATATATATATATATATATACATAAATATATATATATATACATAAATATATACGTATATATCACTATATATATATACCAATATATAAATAAAAATATTTGTAAAAAATTATACATATATATATACATATATATTCACATATGTATATATATATACATATACTAATTCTACATATATATTTATGTAATATTTTTACATAATTAGGTATCTTAATTAATTACAGTTAGCGGGACCTGCCTGACAACCCATGCCGAAAGTAAAGGGAATTTAATTTGCTAGCACTATATTTAACCCTATAACTTTCCAAGACACCATAAAATCTGTACATGGGGGGTACTGTTCTACTCGGGAGACTTTGCTGAACACAAATATTAGTGTTTCAAAACAGTAAAATGTACTACAATGATGATATCGTCCCAGTAAAAGTGAAGTTTTTTGCATTTTTCACACAAAAAAAGCACTTACACAGACGATATTATTGCTGCAATACTTTTTACTATTTTGAAACACAAATATTTGTGTTCAGCGAAGTCTCCTGAGTACAACAGTGCCCCTCATGTATAGGTTTTATGGTGTTTTCAAAAGTTACAGCGTCAAATACAAGGCTTGTGTTTCATTTTTTTCACATTAAAATTCGCCAGTGTCAGGGTACCTGTTGGTGCTGACTCCAAGGAGGACATCCTCTCTGCTTAGGGGCTCCCTGCCCCTAGCATTTCGGCAAATTCCGGCCGTTTTCGCGCCGGCCGCGCTAGCTCCTCCCCCTTTTATGACGCGACGGCTAGCGTCGACGTCATGACGTCAGCATTACGTGAAGTGCCGGGAACCGCAATTCCGGACCTTTTGGGGGCGTGGTCTCAATTAAGGTGACAGGGTATTTAAAGGAAACTTTTACTACTGCTCATTGCCCTGTCGTGGTTCTAGCTTGCTAGTCACTCAGCGCGTTCTCTCTCTTAGTGTTTTCGGTTTTGACCTTGCTTGTCTTTTGTCCTGTTGTCCTCTCCTCTCCTTTGACTCGGCTTGTATCTCGCTTACCTGTCCTCCGGCTCCCTCGACCTCGGCTTACCTTTTGACTATTCTTGTTTTGTCCATACGTTAGTCCGGCCATTCTAAGGTCCGGTATACGTACCTCCTTCTGTCCGTACTCTACGTATTGGATCCCTGTCACTATCCTGACATTACGACAGGGCCAGATGGATCCTGCAGGTGCTAGCCCTCCTGACCCCAGATTTGAGGCCATGGACCATAGAATGGACCAAATGGCTTTAGCATTACAAACTTTGCTAACACGTTCCAGCACCCAGTCAGAAGAATTACGTTCCACTGCTAGCCATCCACTAAGTACTGGTTTGGAAGTAGCCACTGTAGGCGCATCTTCCCATGTCACTTCACCGTTACGTTATGGGGGTTCGCCTGATGCTTGTCGTGGTTTTTTAAACCAGATAAGCATACATTTCGAACTTCAACCCCGGGCTTACCCTACTGACAGGGCTAAAGTAGGCTTCATTATAACACTGCTAATAGACAAAACACTTAGATGGGCCAATCCCCTTTGGGAGAATGACAATCCTCTAGTTTACAACTACACTGCTTTTGTCACGGCGTTTAGAAGGACTTTTGACCCCCCAGGAAGGAAGATTAATGCTGCCAGATCCCTGTTACGTCTTAAACAACAGAATAGAACCCTTGTAGAATACGCATTAGAGTTTAGATCATTGGCAGCAGAAGTGAAATGGAACGAACAAGCTTTTATGGATGTATTCTTGAATGGGTTATCTGATGAAATTCTAGATGAGATTGCCACAAGAGAACTTCCGGAAAATTTAGAAGATTTAGTATCTTTCATTTCCAGAATAGATGAACGCATGAGACAGAGGCAGAACACTCGGGAAAGAGTTACTAGACCTCCTGTAAGACTCGCTCCCTCATTTCAGAACCCTGACTCCTATAATCCTACTCTACCAGAACCTATGCAAATAGGTAATACTCGCTTATCTGAGGCCGAGAGACAGTACAGAAGAAGGGAGGGTCTCTGTTTATACTGCGGGCGGAGAGGTCACCTACGTCTTAGTTGCCCTAATCGCCCGGGAAACGCTCGCACCTAAGTTCCCCTAGAGGACGGGCCTTGGGTGTTTCGTTACTGTCCTCTATACATAATAATAAAGATCATAGGCTTCTGATTCCTGTCTCTCTAGCTTGGGAAAATGGGTTTATTTCTACGATGGCATTATTAGATTCTGGAGCGGCAGAAAGCTTTATAGACCAAACTTTCGCTAATAAGCATTGCCTCCCATTCCAACTGAGAGATACACCCTTGGCCGTTGAGGCCATAGATGGTAGACCTTTATCTGAACCAGTAATATTCCATGAGACCAAACCCGTTAAACTTACTGTTGGTATCTTCCACGAGGAGTTGATTTCCCTTTTGTTAATTTCCTCCCCGGCAGTCCCAGTGGTGCTAGGATATTCTTGGCTCAAGAGACACAACCCTCAGATTGACTGGGAGGGTGGAGAAATCGTTTCTTGGGGAATTGGTTGTAGGAAAGAATGTCTGCAGAGAGTCACTTCTGTTTGTCCCGTAAACTCTTATACTAACTCTTCCCAATCCACAGACGTTCAGATACCATTACAATATCTAGATCTCAAATCTGTATTTGACAAGAGTAAGGCGGATACTTTACCTCCCCACCGGTCTTATGACTGTTCTATTAAACTTTTCCCTGGTACTATGCCTCCTAGGGGTACGGTATACCCTTTATCCACCAAAGAAAATTTAGTTTTAGAGGAATACATCAAGGAGAATCTAGACAAAGGATTTATTAGAAAGTCTTCTTCTCCGGCGGGGGCGGGTTTCTTTTTTGTAGAAAAAAAAGACGGTACCTTACGTCCTTGTATAGACTATCGGGGATTGAACAAAATTACTATCAGGAATGCTTACCCCATTCCTTTGATTACTGAACTCTTTGACAGACTAAAGGGCTCGAGTATTTTTACCAAACTTGACTTGAGAGGAGCATATAACTTGGTGCGAATTAAACAAGGAGATGAATGGATGACAGCATTTAATACCCGTTACGGGCATTATGAGTATACTGTAATGCCGTTTGGGCTATGCAATGCCCCGGCCGTCTTCCAAGACTTGATTAATGAAGTTCTTAGAGAATTTCAACACGAATGTGTGATTGTATATTTGGATGATATACTAATACATTCTAGAGACATTAACTCACATCATAGACAAGTCAGAAAGGTATTACAGAAGCTTTTACAACATGGATTGTATTGTAAATTGGAAAAATGTAGCTTTGATCAGTCTCAGGTTACTTTCTTAGGTTACGTAATTTCCAAAGACGGGTTTATGATGGACCCGACCAAACTAAAATCGATTTTAGATTGGCCTTTACCTAAGGGACTCAAAGCCATACAAAGATTTCTTGGATTTTCTAATTATTACAGACGTTTCATTAAAGGGTACTCCTCTGTTATCGCTCCTATCACTAATATGACCAAACAAGGAGCCGATACCAAAACATGGTCTACTGAGGCATTATCTGCTTTCAAAACGCTCAAACAGTCTTTTGCCTCAGCACCTGTATTAGTTCATCCTGATACCTCTCTGCCCTTTTTACTTGAAGTTGATGCGTCTGAAACAGGGATAGGCGCAGTATTGTCCCAAAGACAAAGTTTAG